TGAAATATGAAATAGGCATGCTAAATATGAAGGTCAGTAAGTTGTCAAATAAGACTGAATATATTCATTCTTGCCGTCACTTCACAGCCTTTGCAGGTTTGTGAAATTTGTATTCTATGTAGAGCAAATGAAGCATAAATTTTATCATTATGTTCATCTATTGTGCCATATGCTTACAATTATCCTGTTTTTAATTTTCCAACTGTGCACATATTAATATTATGTGTTCCTTGTAAACTACCAATAAAACTACAGGGCATCACAATTCCGAAGACCATAATCAACATTTTTAACTCTACGAGAACCTAAAATCTCATATGAATTAAATTTTCGTTGACATCTGTACTTTATGTGTAACTCAAACTGACCTTCAGTTTCATAGGAAAAAACTCGGTGCATAAACAACTGATACTGAAAAATACGAACCTCATTAACACCTACAATTTCTATCTCTTGTGCAGTAGGATTAGCTGTCTAGCAATGAGCTTGTACCTCTTATGAATACACATAAAGGGCAATGAGATGTTAAAATTGAAAAGAACAAGTTCATAAAATATACTCCTTCTTTTTACTAGCGACAGTTAATATAGAACAATTAATATTAAATCAGTCACAGACTACTGCTTAGACAAGCTGAAAAAGAAAATTATGGAATAATGGAAGGAGAAATATGGAACTGTGAGAAAACATATCACATTAACACTTCTACACAACAAATCCCTAATGATTACAACTACCTCAGTCTGTATACTCAATACATCAATGGCAATCCTACATTTATTTTCCGATACACGTGTACTAACAAATACAAAGTTTGCTTACATTTGATTACATGTTTTAAGAGGCTAAAACCTTTTAAAAATTTCATATGAAATAAACATTCATCCATGTGTTATTCTGTATCTTCAAAATACCTTCAATATTCTAGTTGAGGGAAATGATAAAAAGAGTGAGCAAGAAACTTTACCCACAACACCAGTTTGTACTGAACCCACACTAATACCCTATCTATTAACAAATAAATCTCAGCTATGCTAAGTATGACAGTTTACTTTCAAGGACAAGGGTTCCACATTATAAATGACCACATAAATGCATATATTTCAACAGACAGGAATTAAATTTTTTATAGCAAGCAAACAACAAAGATAAAATGATTTTCACATTACCTGGAGATGAAGAAAGAGTACAGAAACTCACCATGTGCTGGAACTTGGCCCCAAAAATGGTCTATGTCTAAGTTGCAGAAGGGAAATGGTTTCAGAATGCAGAATAGGGCATTAACAAATTATATTATAAGAGAAAAGGGAGGCAGAAATTCTAAGACTGGCACTTTCAAAACTTTACATTGAGTATGTAATGTAACTCATCTTCTATCACTAGCTGTGTAAGTGTCCAAGCCTCACATGCTTTAATGTGCTTGTCGTCAATAAAATGTGCATGCTTCATTAGCAAAGATATTTCAGAATTTATTAAATATAACCATGAAGAATTATAGAGCACAAAATGCCTCCATTTGAGATCTCCATCATTTTTTTACTATGAAGCAGATACAGCAACCAGTTGTTATCTTATTAACTCCAAATCAGTAGGTAGTGTTACTGCACTGTTTCACTGTTCGTATGATGATCCAGTGTCAATGACACACTTCATGTATTGTAATATATCAAACAGTAGTGTAACTAAGATTGGTGAAATTTTGGGCAAAACTGGAGGAAATATGAGAATGCACTATCCTGGAATATGTTGGAGATCAAGGAAACCACACTAAACCTCTGTCAAAACAGCAGAACCTCAGCTGAAAAAATGAACTAGAATACTAGTGAACACAAAGCAGGATCACTATCCTGAAAATTGCAATGTTCACTTTCCCCTACTAACATGACTTCATACTAGGGTAAATGTAGTTCAAATAATCAATATGCAGAGGGCTCCATATCACATCATACTCTAACGATGAGTATAACCACAGCACTTGCTTAAAGTGACTGAAAAATCAACTGGCAACACATTCTGTACATACATAAGTTCCAAGCATGACATTTATAATTTAATTCTTTGAAAATAATTGCACATTTCATGATAGTAAATAATAGGTCATTAAATTAAGTCTTCTGGAAATTTTGCAAAATAAGCAGGACAGTGGATCAGGACAAGAAAACTTAGAACATGTGCGCACCTTGTCTGAAGTCCGGGGTTGAGACGTTACCACTCCTCCGTCGGATGACACGGGGTTCCTCTATGAACAGACCAATAATGACAGCAAAACTCAACTCTGTCCCACAAACGTAACACAAATTAACTAGAAAAAAGACTAACGAAATAAAATTAAACTAAGAAATATCTAAGAAAGAGCATTCGCATAAAAAACACAAAAACAAAATAAAAATGGAAACGGTAAAAATGAAATGGATTATGCCTGTAGAAGAAATTGTTCTTACTAGGGAAGTAGTACATTAGAGTCCTGCTGTATGCACACCTTAATCTGTACTGGCATTTCATTACTTCAATTTTGATATCTAAAACAAGTTAATACTTTCAAAGTTTGTCCAAAGTGTACATATGTACAATCAACAGAACAGATTAAATGAATGCCCACAACACTGAACCCCCACCATTTGATTTAAATCTGAACAGTATTAAAAATTACAAACATATAACAAACTGTTTAGTTCCCTGATTTAATCAAATGGAAATATTAACTTTGTGAGAACGTAAGAGAATAATCTCTTACAAATATTTTTACATTAATGACCATGCTATTCTCACAAAGAAAAATATGATACAAAGTGGTCTACAACAGCGTAACACAATGCAATGCAGCAAACTGAGAAAGAGCAAAATTAGAAACCAAAGGGATCTCACTTCATGACTTCCTCACAGCTTTCACAATACAAGTGAACAGAGACAAACAATGTAAATAATCAGCTGACAGACTACATTATAAAGACACAAATATAATGATCAACAGATGAATCAGAAAACAAAGACTTCTCAAAGATGGTTGTCTTCTCGATTGTTGTACCAAGTAGTCTGATACAAGTTTACTGACTTAGGTTAACTTCTACTATACTACATGGTGCAACAACCCAGAAGACAGCTATCATAATAGCCACAATGAGAACCTGACATCTTACAAAGACTCCCTGAATTTACTTTCTAAACTGAACAATCACTATTGGATATGACAGAAATGTATATGGAAGGCGAGATTTCACTTTCTAACAGAGATGAGTATAAAGCTGGCCATCTTCTGTAGTGTTACATCATTGTGACAACAGAGCCAGCAGGCTCCTCTAAAATGTCAGCCAATATTTAACACACTGCATAGTGCAACATCCCAGAAGACAGCCTTCTTCATGTATATGAAAACTGGCTATATTCTTATGGGCATACTACAGTATAAGAAAGACAGAGTATAAACAAATTATAAGAATTTGTTAGCAAACAGGAACATCACCCTGCTACTACAGCTTGTAGATACAACCACATCAGCTTTAGTGATGATTCACAAGTTTAAAAATGGTATGTATATCTCATCTCCACACTTTTCATATTGCAAAAGAAAGATTTTGTTTTTCCACAAACCTTGATTTTAATTTAACAAATCTTGAAATAATGCAGCTATGATAACAATGATACATCACAATAACAAGAGTGTTGTACACAAGATTTCTTTAGAAAATTCACTTGTCTGGCTTATTATGTCATCAAAGAGAATTTCCAATGGATTATGCAAGTGGGAGTTTGAATGGATAGGATTCCCCATGCAGAAATTTCATACCCAGTCAGTACCACATTTGGAGATGCATGCAAGTGTCCATCACAGTTTTCCCATTTTAACCAAATTTTAAATGTATCAAAAAATTTTAGTAAAACTTTTCAATATCAAATTTCATAAAAATCTATCCAGTGATTCCCAAGTTCTTCCATGCAGACAAAAAGTTGAGGAAATATTAACAGATGCACTTTTACATGGCATGGTTGCCACTCATGCTGAATGACAAAACCTGCTGGCAAACAAACACATTTTCATAAATATAAAATAATAATGACGTCTCTTAATGTAAATACAACAAAATTACAGCAATGGCCTAGGGGGACACAACAGTGGCAATGGATGTCTTAATTATTTCAAGTCCTCTACATATTTTAAGTATTTCGATGAAAGTTGAAATACCACGGAACACAGCTGCCAAACAGAAATCACCCAATAAACAAAAATGACTATTAGTAAACTACTACTACTACGACCATCACCACCACCTGAAGGTACATCTACTCATGCTATAATAAGAAATAATAAGTGACACTCAGAATTCTAAACATGAAGGCCCTCTTACAATTTCATATTGCATCATTCTGGGTTCTTCCTCGTAAAATTAAATTGCATTGTGTGTCCAACGAGCAAGATTCCGTAGCTTACTAAAGTAACATAATTGCACACAGGATGAACACTCCACAAATATGGTGGTCTCTTTCACACACACCAATAATCAATCAAAAGTTATTTTCAATACCTACCACTCTTCTGCAAAAATTAACTTCAGATTAAAACATATGAGATTTTTTCCTTGCATGAAACAACAAGGTTCACTTCATGATGCAAATAAAATTATGTAAGTGCTTGAGACATAAAATAATATTTAAAAAGGTGAAATTAAAATAAAAATAAACTGGGAAACTTTTAAAAACTTAAATACCATGTATTACCTAAATGAAATGATAACTGAACATGGACATGTAAGGTGAGAGATCAGTGTTGCAGACAATATATCTTGTACAGATTGACACCGTGTGCTGTTACACGAAATCTAAAAAAGTGTTATGCTTTCTTGTTCGTATTCTTTCAATTTAACTTTAATGTACTGGATGTAACAGGAGGTGCTAAGTTATGGAATTATAATCAACCATTCCAATACTCAACATTCAGTCAGGCAGTGCTCTGCACTTTTTCTGGACGTACATATAAGGTGTGATAATCTCCAGTGTCCTCGGGCTGTCGAGGCTTCCATTTCCCACAGCAGAAGTTGCAAAAGCAGCAACAACAGCAACAAAGGTAGCAGCCAGTGATAATACCACAGAACAGGATAAGTGACTGCAACATTACATGTCATCTCCAATTACAATCAATCTGGTTAAAATACTCATCATATATTAATTATTTATAAGAAAATTTCAGTGACATTCCTAACAGCAAGCATAAGCTGACTGAAGGTGATTTTTCATAACATTTCAATGATAGCTGTGAAATTATTCAAGGTACAAATATGAAATGTTAGGACCATAAAACATTACTGTCCATTAAGTAAACAAACATTATCTTCATCATCAGGAATTAGGTAATAATGCCTGTTCTGGCTTCAAATTGATCTTTCCATCTTCTTCGTGGCCTGCCTCGATCTATTTTTCCACTAGGCTTGTAACTGAACACAGCCTTAGAAAGTCTTTCTTCAGGCATTTGTTCAACATGTTCTTTCCATTTTCTTCTATATTCTCCAATTTTTTTGATTAAATTAAAACTATTAAGTTCTTTCCTAATGTCTTCATTTCTTATTCTATCTAATCTAGTACATACTTTAATTGATCTTAAGTATTGCATTTCTGCCACTTGGATTCTGCTCGTATCTCTTTTCCCTAATGTCGACGTTTCTGATCCGTAGAGCAACTTAAGTTGTGTGTCCTTCCGTGTTTTTCCCTTTAGGGTCTTTTTAAAAGTTCCACAAATGTGTCAGAATCTATTTAATTTTCTATCTAAATCAATGTCATAACCAAAGGTGATACCACAACCAAGGTAGGAGAAATGGGATACCTGTTCTATGACTGTATTATCTATAACAATTTTCGTTCTAACTGGAAGTTTGCCTTTAAAGTTTTTGTTTTAGCTATTGAAATGTTCATATTGTAGTCTTTGCAAATTTGATTAAGTTGGAAGGTAGATTTTTGGAGTTCATTTTCTTATAAAATTATTTGGTCATCTGCAAAAAGCATGGTATTTATTGAGATATTTTTATTAAGTTTTACGCCTGGATTAGCTGATATTTTCCATATTTGGATAATATCATCAATATAAATGCTGAACAGGGTTGGTGATAACCCAAAACCTTGTTCCACACCTTGATTGGTAAAGACTTCATCATATTAAATATTTCTTGGGTCTATTAATATTATTGTTCCTTGGTAAAGGCTTTGGCTGATTTGGATCAGATGTATGGGAAACAGTAAACAAACATTTGAATTTATATCCTTCAGATATTTTCCCAAACAATTTTATATGTTCTACCATAATCATCATTATTATAAAAACATAAAATTTACTTTCTGCATACTGTTCTTCAGTTAAAAAACCAATGCAAACAACATAACTTGATAATATTCACTAATAATTTAAGATATTTTCATATGTAACACCTGAGGGCTTAACCATGTAGTCCATCATAAACTCCACACATGGGACATATTTACTCATACCACTGAGAGATACCTCATTCAAACCATACATAACTGTTAGGAAGACATTTCTCATACATGAGATGTGAATTAAACATGTTCTATATTAAAAGTCTCACCTTGCACCAGCCAGATGTGACTAGAAAGTAAGCATTGACATTTTCCTCTCCAAACTGCTCTGCAATATACAGACCAAGAGAACCATAGTTGTCATAGATGTTGCGTTTTGTCAGGTCACTCAGAATACTGTGAGCCCGATTAACCTCTTTAAACTGCAATGAAATAATGCAATAACATACATATGAACTCTGCTTGTGATGTAGCAGTAGTAGTGGTGGTAGTAGCAGTTCATTTAATGATACTGTCAGCAGCTCAAACTAAAGCATCAAGTAACACTACAATTTATTAATAACAACGTGGAAAGGTATATATGAAAGCAGGCATAGCCTACTGTAAGGTAATATCCCAGCATTTGCCTGGAGGCACTGAGAAAACCACAAAAAGCCTCAGTCAGGACAATTGGTCCATGGTCCAAGATTTGAACCAAGGACATCTCAAATACAAAGCTATGGTGCTAAAGATATGGCCACAACATTAAAAAATAAAATAAAATATAAATCAGGAGATATTCTTAGTGCTTTTAACTGTAAAATTTCTTTGGAGGTGTAGAATTTGACACCAGCAAGTTTTTAAACACCATTACTAAGGATAATTAGAACTAAACCATGTAGCACATGCCAGAGAGGAGATATCCAAACAAAATTTTGGTTGGGAAGCTTGAAGGGAACAGATCACTTGCAAGACCTAGATGTAAATGGGAGTATAATATTAAAATGGATATTATGAAAACACAGTGGGAAGAAGTGTTCTGCAATCACCTGCATCAGAGCAGGGACTGGTGGGAGCATGGTAATGAACCTTCAGGTTACATACTGACATGCAATACATTCCTGACACATGTTCTATCTGTAAAAAAAATAAATTACACTGAAAACAAAAAGAATGATACGTTACGTGTTGGAAATTTCCACTGTGTTCACCAACGCATGCATTCA